TGCACAGAATTCTAACCCAGACAGCCTGGCTCCAGAGCCTGCACTCAATCCTGAGAATTAAGAGCTATCTATACAAGTTAGGACTCTGGTTAAAAGTGGCAGAAACCTAACTTAAACTACCTTAAATAAGAATGGAAATTTCTGGCCATTGCGTAGCTAGTTGGTTAGAGCATCGTCCTAATACTCCAAAGATATAGGTTTGATTCTGGTCAGGGCACATATAAGAATCAACCAATGAATGCATAAATAAGTGGGACAACTCTCTCTCTCTCCTCTCTCTCTCTCTCTCTCTCTCTCTCTCTCTCTTTCTCTCTCTCTCTCTTCCCCCACCCACCCGTTCCCTCCTGCCCTCCCTCTTTCCTTCTCCCCCTTCTTTTCTCTAAAATCAAGAAATAATTTTTTTTAAAAAAAGAAAAAAATGGTAATTTTTAACCCATGTAAACAAACTGTATAAAGAGAAGTGTAGTGATTCAGAGTTAACTGGATTAAGGGACTTGAACTCACTGTTTTTGGACTCTTTTCTAAATGCCTAGGACTAGATGTTAGCCTTTTATCTAAGGCAGCAATTGCTAACCTTTTGGACCTCATGGACCACCAGTGGTCCACAGACCACCAGTTGGCAACCACTGATCTAAGACTCCTCCAAGTGACAGGATATATGACCCAGAATCCTTAAGGCAATAACCTAATAGGCTATAATTCAAAAAGAAAAAAGGCAACAATGAGATACCACTACATACTTATCAGAATGCTAAAATTCAAAACATTAACACCAAACGCTGACAAAGATGTGGAACAACAGGAACGCTCATTCACTGCTGGTGAGAAAACAAAATAGTAAGTCAATTTGTTGGGGGGTTTTTTTTGTTTTTTTTTTGGTTTTTTGTTTTAAACATTTTTTATTTTTTATTTCAGACAGGAAAGGAGAGTGAGAGATAGAAACATCAATGATGAGAGAGAATCATTAATCGGCTGCTTCCTGCACACCTCCTACTGGGGATTGAGCCTGCAACCCGGGCATTGGCTGGAACTGAATCCAGGTTCCCTCCCTCCACAGCCTGACATTCCATCCACTGAGCCAAACCAGCTAGAGCAGTAAGCCACTTTAGAAGACTGTTTCTTACAAAACTAAACATAATTTAACACTATGATCCAGCAATCACACTCTTTGCTGTTTACCCAAATCGGTAGAAAACATATGACCACACAAAAATATGCACAGGTATTTATAGAAGCTTTATTTAAAAATATATATTTTTTATTCATTTCAGAGAGGAAGGGAGAGGGAGAGAGATAGAAATATCAATAATGAGAGAGAACCACTGATCGGCTGTCTCCTACATACCCTCTACTGGGGATTGAGTCTGCAATCAGGACATGTGCCCCAATTTGGGAATCAAACTCTAACCTCCTGGTTCATAGGTTGATGCTCAGCCCCTGAGCCACAGCGGCTGGGCATAGCAACTTTGGTTTTAATTTCTAAAATGTGGAAGCAACGAAGATGTCCTTCAATAGTTGAGTGAATAAATAAACTATGCAATGAAGCATTATTTGGTGCTAAAAGAAATGAGCTTTCTAAATCAGAAGTCAGAAAAACCTGGCGCTCTGCTTGTTTTGTAAATAAAGCTTAGTGAAACACAGGCATAAAAGTATATAAAAAATAAACCAGATATGAAGCCATGAAATTACATGGAGATATCATTAAATGATATTGCTAAGTGAAAGAAGCCAATCTGAAAAGACTACATACTGTATGATTCCAACTATGTAACATTCTAAAAAAGGCAAAATGCTCTCTCCTAGTTTCATGAAATAAACCCAGAGAATAACTTGTCTGCCTCACTGATGGCCCTATGCTCATCCTGGGGACCATCCCTGTGTCGGAATGCAATATGCTCTGGCCAGGTCTGTGTCATATGCCTATTACTGTGGCTTGGGGTAGAGCCTGAGTAGAGTGGCCCTCAAAGGGAAGGGACAGAGGAGAGTGGTGGTCTCATTGAAAGAAGGGGGAGGTGTCCTGGGCAGAAAACACAACAATGGCGAAGTCACCTGTATTATGTGTACATTAGAGGCCCCGTGCATGAGATTCATGCACTCAGGGGGTGGGGAGTCCCCTCAGCCCAGCCTATGGGAACCCTCGGGGATGTCTGCCTGCCGCGGAAGCTGGAGACACTCACTGCTGCCACTGCACTTGCCAGCTGTGCCCTGGCTTCTAGCTGAGCAGCACTCCACGTGTGGGAGCACACTGACTACCAGGGGGCAGTTCCTAAGTTGAGTGTCTGCCAGTCAGCATCAAAAGCTGTCTCCTAGACAGCCATTGGCTCCTTACATTCACCCAGATTTGGTTCTGACTGGTCAGTTTCTATGCCAGTCAGTGTCTCTGGGCCTATCATCAGGGCCTGATCAGAAAGGCAAGACTGATCAGCAGCCCTGGTGGAGGCAACCCAGCACTGATTTCCAGTCTGGGCTAGTCTTCAGTCATAATGGCTCCTTGTTATATAGCTATGTAACAGCATGGCTTTATTTTGAAAAAATATGATTCCTTTCTATGAATTCCTGCTATTTATCCTCATTTAGTCCTTACTGAATAAAAATAAATGCACTTCTAACAGTAACAAGTAATAAAAACCATATCATTTCTCATTAACCTTTTATTTTTAACTTAGGTTTACAATCAAGAAACTGAAAAGATCATTAAAAAAATATCATTGCTATCAATTTAAAAGTTTAAATGAAGTTCATATTAAACAAAATATAACACTATAGCCTATAATAATATCTTTATTTATATATACAAGAACTGTGTGCAAAGTGCTTTTCAAACTATAAAATAAGACTTTGGAATAGGATACAAACAGTTAACCCTATGAATTAGTAATCTCTAACTGCTTGTAATGAATCACAACTGCTTACTTTATTAATTTGCATTTTATTGTTTTATATTCTAAGAAAAAAACCCACCATTTTTGATACCAGATTGATATCTAATTTTTAAAAATAATCCATGATCCATGGATCTAAACTTTTTTTTCCCTAAATTGAGGAGTTTTTAAAATATTAGCCCTGGCCAGCGATCTCAGTGGTTAGAGAATCAGCCCATGCATCTAAGGGCCTTGGGTTTGATTCCTGGTCAATGTACTTGGTTTGCAGGTTGGATCCCAGGCCCCAGTTGGGGTGTGTGAGAGAGGCAACCAATTAACCGATGTGTCTCTCACATCGATGTTTCTCTCTCTCTTCCTCTCGCTCTCCTTCTTTCCTTCCTTTCCTCCTTTCTAGTCTCTCTAAAAACCAATAGGAAAATTATCCTCAAGTGAGGATTAACAAAAAAAAGGCGCACAATCTTAGTAGATCCCTCTCTAGGGGCACATTTTAATTAAGATGGGATTAAAATAAGATGGGATTAAAAAATAAAAAACATCAAATTACACGAAAGGAAAAAATAAGGAAAAAGTCTTGGGAAAAGCAAATTGCATTCTTATACATTTTTCTTCAGGCAAACGAAGAACCACTCTCCATAAAAGAGATGTATTACTTTCTCTCTTATTGCAAACACTCTGAACACATGATGCTAAATCCAGTATCATACATATCAAGAATGCTTAAAACATTTACTACTAAACCTTTAAATCAGAGATACCTTTAAAGTACAAAGTACATCTAAATAAGCAGGTAGACAGGAAAAATAAGTCCAACCTAGCCGGTGTGGCTCAGTGGTTGAGTGTTGACATATGAACCAGGAGGTATGTTTCAATTCCCGGTCAGGGCATATGTCCGGGTTTCTGGCTCTATCCCTGTTAGAGGGTGTGCAGGAGGCAGTGGATCAATGATTCTCTCTTATTATTGATGTCTCTCTCTCTCTTCCTCTCCCTTCCTCTTTCTGAAATCAATTAAAAAATTATTTTTTAATTCCAAACAAAGCCATCAAAGATCTAAATTACAATCTTCTTTCTAGTTTAAATGTGATAGGTAGAGGAGAGAAACTGAAATTTATATTGATTGGGTATGCCTTATTCATATGGAAGTACATAGCCTGTTAGCTTACAGATCCTTTTAATAGCCCTATGAAATAGGCATCTCTCTAATATTATACCCCAATGAAAAACTGAGGCACTAAGAGGTTAAGAGTTCAGGCTGGATAGTTTACCAATTGCGGAAAAAAAATTTTCATGTGTATCCTTTTTGACCTTGGTAAAAACAGTATAAATTAAGGTCTTTCATTTTATATTTCAAAGCACCTGGTGAAGCAGAAACAAGATATACTCAGTTAAAGACAAATTATTACAAAGAAACAAATGTATATGATTTAATAAAAATCTTATTAATGATCTGCAGGCTCAGAATGAACTTTCATACCTTAAGCCCATTCTTCATCTTTCCCATCAGTAAGTTATTTCTATTCTGTGAATCATTTGTAAAAACTAAGCCTCTTATATAGGGCTCTAGTTTATAATAATGTCTGAACACTAAAGTCAGAGCTGTGAACACCCAACAAAGATCATAAAAGTTTTCTACTTCTTGACATGGCAATTCAGTGACTAAGATATAAAGTCAATTAAATCTACTTGAAATTTACTTCTGATTTGCATTCTTTCTCATATTTAATTTAGAAAATTAAAAATACCCAGTTATAAATCTAATATCATTATAACAACTGTACCTAAGCAGCTTATATTTTTCTATGGGAGATAATTAGGTAAACATGTTACCAAACAATAATTAATAATTTAATGTCCTTCAACTTTAAGGGTAGGGAAAATCTATGTATGCTTATAATCTAGTTGAGATTGATTATTCAAGTATCAGCAATATTAGTCCTTAAAATATTATCATTGTGTAGTGCAAAATATATATGTATATATGTACACAAACCAAAGTATTGGACAACAAAAAGCAATGTAATAATCACAAACTAGGATTTTCTTATGAGCTCCACAATCCATTTCCTTCCAAGGTCATCCAGGCCTAGTAGTCTTCTTGAGTAAAATACCATTTTCTTTTCTTCAGTTCAGTTTTCTTTAAAAAGAAAGTAAAAACCAATTTCCTATGAATAAAATGCAACCTGAATATGAAACACAACCCATGCCAAAGAATTCTCTAACATAATCCTAACATTCAAATTCAAAATAAAACCATAAACCCACAAATGATCCTTATAAAATTATTTCATGTCTATTGAAATTATTTCATGTCTATTGAAATAAAACTATTATTTATAGTTCAATAGGAAAGACCTAATTGCAAGTGCTAACATTATCAAATGGTTTGTAATAAATAATTTAAATATATATTCCTCCTCCTACAGCTTCTAAATTCTCAACTTTTTCTAGTTGGCTATTACAGTTAGGATTTTTTTTTTACATTATTTAATAATTTATAAAAATGGAAAGGCTGTGAAACAAAATAGCTTAATAAAACTTCAACAAGTTGACAGATGTACAATCTGGACTATTAATTTAATTAATATATGTTATGTTATCTGTTTTGGGCACTGTGCAAGCACTGGGGATTTAAACATAAATGAGGCAGCTCTCAACCCTCAAAAGACCTCTTGGTTTAATTGAGGGGATAGGAAGATATACCAACAATTCAGATATGCATAATGCGATGGTTTTAAGAGTGAATGAGGTATCAGAGAACTGGTGGGCTTATTATCACAAGACATAACAATCACATATGATCTGAGTTCTGAGAAAAGTTCCCTGAACTGTAAATAAAATCTCTATACCCTCCCAGCACTCAAGATGCCAAAATGGCTGAAACTGTCTCAGCATAGATTCGTTCCTCTCTGTGGAAATATTCATATACAATCCCTTTGGTAGGGGTTGTATGTGATATCCTATCTAATAAAAGAATAATATGCAAATTGACCGTCACTCCAACACACAAGATGGCCGCCCCCATGTGGTCAAAGATGGCCACCCTCATGTGGACACAAGATGTCCAGCCAGGAAGGAAAGTTGTGGGTGATCAGGCCAGCAGGGGAGGACAGTAGGGAGGGACCCAGGCTGGCAGGGGAGGGCAGTTGAGGGGGAGGCAGGTCTGCAGGGGAGGACAGTAGGGAGGGACCCAGACCAGCAGGGGAGGGCAGCCGTGGGGGACCCAGGCCTGCAAGAAAGGGCAGTTGGGGGGACCATGCCTGAAGGGGAGGGCAGTTGGCAGGGGGGACCAGGCCTGCAGGGGAGGGCAGTTAAGAGGGACCAGGCCTGCAAGGAAAGGCAGTTGGGGGAAGGGGTTACCAGGCCTATAGGGGAGAGCAGTTGGGAGGGACCAGACCTGCAGGGGAAGGCAGTTGGGAGGGACCAGGCCTGCAGGGGAGGCAATTAGGGGTACCATACCTGTAGAGGAGGGCAATTAGGGACGACCAGGCCAGCAAGGGAGGGCAGTTAGGGGCGGACCAAGCCAGCAGGGGAAAGGAGGTAGGAGTAATTGGGCTCGCAGGGGAGAGGTTAGGGGGTGATCAGGCTGGCAAGTAGAAGTGGTGATGGGCAATCAGGCAGGCAGGCAGGTGAGCATTTGGAAGCCAGCAGTCCTGGATAATGAGAGGGATCCCAGATTGGAGAGGGTGCAGGCTGGGGTAAGGGATAGCCCTGCACATGAATTTCGTGCACCGGGCCTCTAGTTTTAAATAATCAAGTAATTCCTTATCCTGTGAACAAATCTTCTTAGTTATACTTCTTTGGCAGGAGTGACATTTTAAATAATCAAATCAACCCCAGCTGGTTGGATAGAGAGATAGCCTGAGGACTAAAGAGTCCCAGGTTCGATTCCTGTCAAGGGCATGTACCTTGATTGTGGGCTCCTCCCTGGCCAGGGCCCTAGTGAAGGCCCATGCAGGAGGCAACCAGTCAATGTGTTCCTCTCACATTGATATTTCTCTCTGTCTTTCCCTCTCTCTCCCACTCTCTCTAAAAATCAATGGAAAAATATCCACAGGGTGAGGATTAAAAATAAATCAATTAAAAATAATAATAGTAAATAATCACATCAATTTTCACTTAAGTCATGGCATAAAGTTGCAGGTGGTTCTAAAGATTTAACTACCTGAGCAAGTTTTCAGCAGAAATGTTAGCTGAAAGGTGCTTAAACAGTTAGCAACACTTATCAAGAATCCATATGATGCAGATTACTATACAAAGTCTTTCGCAGCATGGCTGGTGTGGCTCAGTGGATGCATGTTGACCTATGAACCAGGAAGTCACTGGTTTGATTCCTGATAGGGCACATTCCTGGGGGCCATGCAGGAGGCAGCCAACCAATGATTCTCTTTCATCCTTGATGTTTCTATCTCTCTCTCTCTCCATCTACTTTCATCTCTGAAATCATCTCTGAAAAAAATGAAAATATTTTTTAAAACAATCCCTCGCAGCTCTTCCCTTTTGTGGCCATCATAGAAGCATCATCAGTCAAAATGAAGTTCAATCCCTTGTGACTTCTGACCGGAGCTACAACCATAAAAAGCATTTCACTGCACTTTCCCACATTCAAAGTTTATGTCTTCTCCTCTTTCCAAAGAGTTGAGACAGAAGTACAATGTTCAATCCATGCCCATGCCAAAGGATGATGCAGTTCAGGTTGTTCAAGGACATTACAAAGGGCAGCAAATTGGCAAAGCAGTCCAGGTGTACAGGGAGAAATATGTCATCTACATTGAACCAGTGCAGCAGAAGAAAGCTAATGATATAACTGTTCATGTGAACATTCACCGCAGCAAGGAGGTTATCATGGACTAAAGCTGGACAAAGACCGCAAAAAGATCCTTGAACATAAAGTCATATCTCACCACGTAGGAAAGAAAAAGGGAAAATACAAGGAAAAAACAATTGAGAAGATGCAGAAATAAAGTAATATTATATACAACTTTCATTAAAAACTTAAAATGAAAAAAAATTTTTTTGCAGATTCATACAACTTTGTCAATAAATCCTAATCCTCTACATTATTCTCTGACAGTGGGGAAATAGACTGGATATCACTATCTTCAAAATCTTAGAATGTTTTTCAGCCTTTTAACAAAATATCTCTCTCCTTTTTTAAAAAATTAATTTGCAAAATGCAGGATATGATGTGATAGGGAAGAAAATACACAAAAAGCAACAAATAAGGGAATAAGAATAAAATTCTCTTTGCCCTAGCCCAGTGGTCAGCAAACTCATTAGTTAACAGAGCCAAATATCAACAGTACAACCATTGAAATTTCTTTTGAGAGCTGAAAAACAACTTTTGCACATGGGCCACGAAGTTTCAATGGCACTGTACGTGTGTGTCCGCACATGGTATTTTGTGGAAGAGCCACACTCAAGGGGTCAAAAAGCCGCATGTGGTTTGAGAGCCGCAGTTTGCCGACCACCACTCCAGCCCATTGAATTCTACTCTGGTTGTGCCACTGAGATTATTTTTCCTCCTCAGAAGCATAGGCCTGCCTTTTTGGGCCAGTACCATCTTCACCAGGTTCCACTGAAGAATGTTTCTCCTGAGATCCTCTCCTCCCCTACCTAAATTTGGGTGATTTTTTAAGGGTATGTTTATTAAAGCTGGGGACAGTAAAACAAGGAAGGGCTTAGGATAGAAGCAACAGGAGAGAGCCTATGCAGGGCTGCTTTGAAATACCCAAGAAATAAAATTCACAAGGTCAGAAGTGAGCCAAGGTGGGGCTGCTATTGGCTGACTGGAAAGTCAGAGAAAAAAAGGGCCTTGAGGACTTGGTCAGGGGGTTAGCCCAGAATAAGTCGCTAATGCTCATTGCTCCCCTGGTTACAAGTCTCCAAGTCTTCTAGGGTCCTTTAGAGTTTTAGGATAGAGACTTCACTCAAGCCTGGCAGGTATTGTCAAAAGGTTAGAATGTTGGCCTGCACATCAAAGGGTTGCCAGTTCGATTCCTCGACAAGGATGTATACTGTAGTGCAAGTTTGATTATCCAGCCCCAAATAGGGAACGTTTTGGAGGCAACCAATCATCTCTTTCTCTTTCTCTTCCTCCCTCCCTCTCCTAAAAATCAACGGGAAAAAAAAAAAATACTCTTGAGTAAGGATTAACAAACAAACAAACAAAAAAAATTCACAAGAAAATTCACTTGAAAAGGAGATTCAAGTGGGTGTGCTACAAGGAAGGCTTACCCTACCCAGGTTTGTGTGTGTGTGTTTTAATGTTTTTACTAGAGGCCTGTGTATCAATTTGTACATGGGTGGGATCCCTCAGCCTGGCCAGCGATTGGGGCTGATTGGGGCTGACTGGGTCTGATTGGGGCTGATTGGGGCCATCTTACCCAGTTGATGAGGCCAGCCTATCCGGAGGAGGAGGGATGAAGGAAGGTTGGCCAGCCATGGGAGGTTGGCTGTGGGAGCGCACTGACCGCCACCAGGGGGCAGCATTTGCATTGAGTGTCTTCCCCCTGGTGGTCAGTGCATGTCATAGCTACCAGCCAGTCATCTGTCCAGTTGTAAGGGTCACTTATAAATTGATTTCAGAGAGAAAGGAAGAGGAAGAGATAGAAACATCATAATGAGAGAGAATCATTGATCGGCTGCCTTCTGCACGCCCCTACTAGGGATTGAGCCCACTACCCAAAATTGAACCTGTGATCCTTTGGTCCATAGCTTGATGCTCTATCCACTGAACCAAACCAGCCAGGGCCTACCTAGTTTTTAATGACTATGTTTCTACTGAAAGCTCAGTATTTCCAAAGAGACTATATGACAGCAAATTTATGAATCTGGACAGACTGATAAAAATAGTCAGAAAAAGTAATTCATTACGAGTAGTCATTTGGACTTAACAGGTCTGCTTTTAGTATTTAAGTCATAGATAATTTATTATTATCATCGTTATTACTATTATTTTCTCTTTCAAATTTAATTTTTTCACATTTTAATTGTATTTCTTTTTTTAAAATATTTTTATTTATTTCAGAGAGAGGAAGGGAGAGGGAGATAGAGATAGAAACATCAATGATGAGAGAGAATTATTGACTGCCTGACTTCTGCAAGGTCCCAACTGGAGATCAAGCCCACAACTCA